ATATATATATATATATATTCTATATATCTAAATGCTTATTCTTTAAATAATAATAATTATAATAATTATTATTATTATACTAATATTATATATATTGCATATGTAATTAGGTAAATATTTTTTTGGTAGATTGTGAATTTCCTAATTAACGCCAATTTTTAGCTCCATTTCGAGGTGTAAGATATCATCTACAAGATTTTGCAGGTCAGGGTAATGACCCTGAAAATAAGAAAGAATTGTTCAATCTTCGTTATGTGTCTTTACGGAATGTGATTGAGAAAATATTTGGTATTTTTAAATCAAGGTTCACAATTTTTAAGTCAGCACCTCCATTTTTATTTAAGGCACAAGTAGAACTTGTGTTAGTATGTGCAACACTACATAACTTTTTATGTAAAGAATGTCGTTCTGATGAATTTCTAATTGAAACGGTGGATGAACCTTCATCTTCAACGTTACCCGTTAATGAAGATCATACTTTTAAACCTATTATTCAAACCTACGAACAAGAGCGAAAAGACGCTAATGCTTGAAGGATTAGTATAGCTATGGATATGTGGGTAAATATTATTTAAGAGGATAAGATATTATGGAGAATTATTATTATTATTATTTATCTAGACATTATTATTTTTTATTATTTTTATCTTTGACTCTATTTAAATTTGAATGTATGAAATTTTTTTTGAAATTTTATCAAATGTCAAAAATTCACAAAAATTTTATAAAATCTCACAAAATCTATTAAAATCCTGATTTAAAAGTTTTGCAGAATCCATTAAAATCCTGATTTTAAATCTTGTAGAATCCTGCAAAATTTAAAAATTATAAAAATCTTGCAAAATCATTTAAAATTTGCAGGATTTATTTTAACTAAAAAAATTCTTTAAAATTCTAATCCAGTACGCCCGTTAAAACAGGACACGGAGTTACTGCAACGAAATAACGGCATGAATTTGACGTTGTGGTTAATGTTGTTCACTTTTCTTCACAAAGTCAACTTATTAGTATTTCTCTTTTGTACGACTGGGAAGTGGCGAAAAAAAAAAAGCCGCCGTTAAAACTTAATTAACTTTTTTAAAATAAAAATATTATTATACAGAAAAAGAGAAGAACGTTTTGCTTTTTTTTTTTTTGTTAAAAAAAAAAACTACCCTTTATAGTTTCCTTTGTTAAGGGCTCTGATCTGCATTCAACCTTCAAAGTTTCAAACTGTCTTTCCCAGAGCATGTTCCATGTTCGTATGTGTTTTTACTAATTTTGTTTTGGACCTTCGCCTCATGTGTTTTATATGATAATACGGAGCAGTTCAATAATGTCTTATGAAATTCTATTTTTTTTAATTTATTTCTTCATATGGGAGTTAGCTGTGATTGAAAAAAAGTATTTTTTTATTATTCTATCTCATCATCGTTTGAACTTCTCTGAATTGTGGTTTTCAATCATTGTTTGTTATGATTTGTGATGATGATATGTTTAATCCCATGATCTCACAAAGCGAATTCAACACTAAAATTTAGTTTCTGATGCTAACTTTCTTTGTTTGGAATTGTCAAAGACAGTTTTTTTTTTCCTGGAAAGGGATGATATTCATTTGGATTTCTACTTCCCTTCCCATTTGAATAACCCCTGTTTTCCCTTCTACAATTTCTCAATTTCTTTTTTTTGTGTTTAAATGTTAGTTGCACTCTGGTGTATGTAATTCCCTATGTTCTACACTTGAATGCAAAAAATTGTAATTAACTGTTCTATTGACTTGAATTACAGAACTGACAACCTGATCTTCATGAATTTGGGAAGTGTTGTTACATCCACTGTTTCCTGTAAAGCGGGAAGCAACAACAATTTCCTTTTCTGGATTTTGGTTTGCTTCTTGCTAACAAATTTTCTGGGAGCTCCTGAAGTATATGCACATTTCCAAGTAATAAAGCTCATTGTGGGGTTTCCATCTTCTTCCGTTTGGGGTGTGATCTTTTGGCAAGGTACCCCTATAGTTCTGAAGATTCTTAGTCATTTTCTGCAGTCTCTCTGTTTTATCAAAGAACCATGGTTTCCTCTCAGTTCTCTATCTTAAATGGGAATAATTCTCAGAAGCCTTTCCTAAACCAGTTGCTTCTTCCAAATGGGCCACCTGATTGTTTGCCTCCTTCAGATTGCGTGGATGTTGAATTTTCTGATTTGTTTGGTCCATCTCCCGTTGAAGCCTCAATAGCAGTAAGCTCTGAGAATCATGAAAATTTGGTAGCTACCCGGGGTTTGAGCGAAAAGATTTACAATGATCATGCTTCCATTCACATCCGGTCTCAATCTTTATTGGCTCCCACAACCTGTGTTGGTCAGTCCTTGCAGATTAGCAAACTCGCCTTACATAAGGCAGAAGATGCATCGGATCTTGTGGAGGAGGTCTTAATAGAAACACATGAAGAACTTAAGGAACATTCTGTTAACAATTCTGAAGTTGAGAAAAATAATACACGTTTCAATAATTACTGTCTGAATAATCAGACTATTGGAGTTGAGGATTTTGAGGTTTTGAAGGTTGTTGGGCAAGGTGCTTTTGGTAAGGTGTATCAAGTGAGGAGGGCAGGTACATCTGAAATATATGCTATGAAGGTCATGCGCAAGGATAAGATCATGCAGGGAAACCATGCTGAATATGTAAAATCTGAAAGGGATATGTTGACAAAGGTGGACAACCCATTTATTGTGCGGCTCAGATATGCATTCCAAGTAATGCTTTTGCCTGAATGAAGTTAATTATCATATCACATGTTACATATTATCTGTCAGTGCACGTATGTTAGTTTTGTGTGGATACTTATGGGTTAGGAAAAAGGGACAGTACTATGTATTTGCATAATGACAACCTAAGTTGGATTTTGCAGACAAAATATAGGCTGTACCTTGTGCTTGATTTTGTCAATGGTGGCCACCTTTTCTTTCAGCTTTATCACCAAGGCCTATTCAGGTATTATAAGCTGCATTCTGTGACTATATTATGATATGCTTATATATAGTTATCTTACACATGCAACTTTTGTCAGGGAAGATTTGGCACGCTTCTATGCTGCAGAGATTATTTGTGCTGTTTCTTATCTTCATGCAAATGATATAATGCACAGGGATCTTAAGCCTGAAAATGTTCTGCTCGATGCAGATGGTCATGTAAGATATCATGCACTCATATCTGTGTCTGTGACTCTGGCTCTCTGCATTAGGCATGCCACATGCCTAAGTATTTATTGTGAAGGGATGAGTGATTTGTATCTAACTTCTATTTTGCTGTATTATGATATAATCCTGTGCTTGAGATACCAGGTAGTGTTAGCAGATTTTGGCCTGGCTAAGCAATTCAACGAGAGTGAAAGGTCAAATTCTATGTGTGGAACTGTAGAGTACATGGCCCCTGAAATTGTTATGGGAAAAGGTCATGATAAGGCAGCTGATTGGTGGAGTGTGGGAATTTTACTATATGAAATGCTTACAGGAAAGGTTAGAATATTGGTATTTTTTCGTCTTCATTTAGTATTAAATAGTGGTTGCAGTACTATTTTCTTTTCCAATTTGGCATATCTCTCTCAAGCATTTGCCGCTGAAGCTGGAGCTCAGATTACTTTGAAATAGATTAACTTGATTTTCTCAAAGGAAATTGACCTTTTTCTGCTTCCATGAAGATAATTGAAAGTTATTCCTTGTTCAGTATGCTCAGTTTATGGCATTTCCTCAAGTGTTTGATGAAATTGCTTGATTTTAATGGCTTGTCAAAATAAGTTTGTATACCTGATATGAATGGAGTTTATTTTGTTTCTGAAGCAATAAATAGAAGATAACATTACTCTAAAAAACCATGGAATAATTGCTGATAACCTCCAACTGAATTCTTCTAACATTATGGTGAATCATTCATTGCTATTTAGTAGTTAACGGCCTGTTGTTCTCCATTAATGGTATCCCATCTTAAGAATTGTGCCATTTCTTAAATCATGGAGCTGTATATTTGGATTGTTTAATCGCCCGTCTCTTAACTTATAAAGTTCATCCTAAATTTTGTTATATTTAAGCATGACTGTATATGAAAATTCTGTTTCTAAGCAATTGCTAATATTTTTCATAAAAAAGACTTCTCAAGAGATTGGTAAAGTTATCTTGATCATCCATTTTGTTTAGGTGTCAGTTTGTGACATACAGTTCCTGGAGACTCATAAGCCACTTGGATGTATTTGATTATGTATTGCTGATACTTTAGTTTGTTGGTCTTTGAATGAGTTGTTGTAATTTTTATAATTTCCTTAGACTTTATTATACTGTTTACTCCTACTGCAGCCTCCTTTCTCCGGTGGAAATAGACATAAGATCCAGCAGAAGATAATTAAAGACAAAATCAAGCTCCCAGCTTTTTTGTCAAATGAGGCACATTCACTGTTAAAAGGGGTACAAATTTTCTCTTACACTGTTACACCTAAACCAATCATTTTATACATTGGCTTCACAATTGCCATGTTTTGGGCAACAAGAGTATAATGAAGTTTTTCTCTTCAGCTGTTGCAGAAAGACGTCAGCAAACGCCTTGGCAGTGGATCAAGAGGCAGTGGGGAGATTAAAAGCCACAAGTGGTTTAAGTCACTCAATTGGAAGAAACTGGAGGCCCGTGAAATTAGGCCAAGCTTTGTCCCAGTTGTTGCTGGGAAGCTTTGTGTTGCTAACTTCGAGGAGCGGTGGACTAGTATGCCCTTGCTGGATTCTCCAGCCGCTAGTCCCAGAAAGGATGACAATGCCTTCAAGAAGTTCTCATATACTGGTTCTCCAGTTGTGTCATGATAGAAATGCCTGATTTCTATAGTAAAGGTCCAATTTAGAGCACCAATTCATGTATTGATGATGGGTTAGAAAATTATATCCATGTGATGATGCTCCTTGTATAAACCTATGTTCTCTAGTTATTATACAAGCAAGTAATACTAATTTTTCTAAGGTTTCAGCCATCTTTCATCCAACCTGTCCACCCTTGGATGGGTATTCTATTAGTTACCATATGACTGTGATATCATTGGCATGCTTTTGTATCAAATTCAGTGCTTGTGAACCTTCTAAATGCAGCCTTTTCTTGTTTTATGGATCTTGTTTAAGCTGTTGAAACTACTTAGATGAACGTCTCTTCTTGGGAAGATACTTTATTTCAAATATCTCTTCTAGGGGATGAGTTTTTAAAAACAAAATGATTTGAGGTTCACGAGTTACTTGGTGTCGTGGATGGTCTATTGTACATTTTGTTCATCTTGGATAACTGGATTCTGATCTGTATCATCTAGAGCTATAGCAAAAGGAAGTAAGGATATGGAACAAGCATTAATTCATTGTTCTTATGGTAGAGATGCATTAGAAAAGGTAAAGAATTTAACGTATACAACAAAAGCACCTGTAGTAGAGGTTGCAACAACAGACATTATTCATATTAGTTCCGCAACTGGGCTGCTAACACCCTAAGAAGCCCTTATTCTAGCAATTACATATAAACATACATTATTCTTTCTCTCTTAAGAGTATAAACAGAAAACTAAAACACGTGAAAAAGACAGAAAAATGTATGGTATATAAGTTACTGATACAAATATTATTCCCTTTTCTCCTTTTATTTTCTTATTGATGCTTTTGGTTGGCATATTCAGATTAGATGCCTAGGGACTAAACCATTGAGATTTCTGAAGGTTGATCAGCATTGACGTTTCTTGTTCCATCTTTAGCATCATTTGTTGTTTCATATGCCTTCTCTTCAGTAATATTGCCAGAGTGTTCTTTATCCTCTCCTGAGATTTCTTCAAGTGATCGGCCTCGTGTTTCTGGCACTAAGAAAGTGAACAAGAATCCAAGCATGTTGACCACGGAAAGTGTCATAAGTGCATTCTTCATTCCTTTTGTTCTGTTTTCTGCACTATCTGTATAGCCTTGCACCACAAAAGCACCAATGATAGCTCCTGCTTTCCCGGCTGCTGCTGATATCCCATGACACGTTGAACGGAATCTAGCAGGGAACAGCTCAGCTGGCACTATAAATGTTGTGCTATTGGGTCCAAAGTTGGCAAAGAAGAGGGTGAGTCCAAAAAGAATGACAAACGTTGTGTGTTTTCCATTACAATATTCATATTTTGCACCAGGGTTGCATTCCTCTCCCCTATATTCTCCATACTTGTGCCCCAGAAACCACATGCAAACAGACATTACAAAAAATCCAACAAGTTGGATATAATACCTTCCAATCTTGTCAATGAAGTACACTGTGAACCAATATCCAGGGACTGTGGCAAGCAGGGCCACCACAGACATTGCTTTGGAGAGTCTAAACACCTCCTCTATGGCATTCATTTGGGAAGCTTTGAAGACAAGTCCACTAGCAGGATAAATATCTTTTTGTGTTAGTTGAAGACTGTAAAAGGCAATATCCAAAAAGAACCAAGTGCTGGTTGTTCCTAGAAGGTGAAGGCCATGTTTTTCAAAAAACTCCGATGAGAACAATCCATAAGAGAGGCTAGGTGTGGCAGCAACCCTGGTATTTGATTCTCCTAAAGGTATATCCTTATCAAGAACTTTGGCCATATCTTCAACAGCTTTATCGTGGTCTCCTTCCACTAAAGCAGTGTACCTTGCAGTTTCCGGCATTTTCATTCGCCAATAATAAGTTAAGGCTGCAGGAAATGCACCAAACATGAGTACTATTCTCCAAACAAAATCTCCTTCTGGCTGAGTAGATTGCACAGCATCATTTGCAAAAATTGGAGCTGGATAAGCTGCTAAGAATAGATTAGAGACCAACATGGCCACACCTCCAGCAACCAATATTCCTACACCTTGCATGGCAAAGACAGCAGCAACAAAAGCACCCCTTGTCTTCTGATTAGCATATTCAGACATTATAACAGCTGAGAGAGGGTAGTCTCCTCCAATACCAAATCCAAGCCAGAACCTGAAGAAGCAAAGACTAGCCACCACACTCTTGGCTGTGGAGCCAAAAGAAAGCCCTGATGCCAAGGCACATCCTACCATGGTGACAAGTGTTATCCCATAAACCTTTTTTCTACCGAGTTTATCACCAAGCCAGCCAAAGAAGAGTTGTCCTGCAAGGGTACCACACAATGCCACTCCTGTTATTGCATTGTTTACAGGCTTTGGAAGCTTTCCTGGATTGTGAGTATTGGGATCGTAGTAGTACAAGCGACCTATAAGCTTGGTAACTGCAGTGATGCAAAAGAGATCATATGCGTCAGTGAAGAACCCCATCCCTGCTATCACAATTGCCTTGTAATGGTACTTTTGTGTCTTGGCTTTGTCAAGTGTTGAGAGCACACCTTGGTTGGTGGCCATGGCACTGAACAAAGGGTGGTATCTGATGGTAAAAGGTGAGCAAAAGGAAAGAGTAGGAACATGCTAGTTTTATTGAGACAAGTTCACTTGTCTTCTTGGATTTTGACAAAGGATATATTGCTTTCTAAAAGCTGGAAAATGTCATTGGGAATGACAATTTTCTCAAATATCGATGGTTCAAGGAATATTCCTTGATATTTGAGAACACAAATTTTTAGCCTGAAGCTTGAACACCCCTCCTTAATGACCAAGTTGTAATAAGTTTCCACACCCTAAGCTAGCTTTCCAATAATATAAAAAGTTGGTTTTGTTTTGAGTTTAATTATAATACATTGTGTGTACAAAACAGTTTTACATCGTTAACTAATAAAAAAATATTCTCAATATGATTTTGAAGGTAATTATTGTAAAAAGATTAAAAAAAAAAAGTTATTAGTTTGTGATTAGATAACATGTGCAACCTATTTTCTCTTGTTTTCATCTTATGTCCTTCATGTTATTGCCTGCTTTTATCGTTTTTTGTTCCTTGACAATGGATTCTAATTCATTCCTTGGTTGCCTTTCGGATATTCTACGATATGCATGAATGTTAATTGATGAAATCCACGCACGTAATCTTCAAAATATGGTTTTCTTGTTGAGTTGACACGTGACTGTTTACGGGGCAAATCCTCGTACTCTTCAACGCAAAGCCTTTTAATTATTTAATTTTTCGTTGTTACATGTCGGCACAATGTGTACATTTTTGAATCTAAGGCTAGAAGATGGTAAGGAGATTGATGTAACTTATTTTGTCCAAATCCAATATCTTCTTCCTTTCTCAAATACTTCGTATTGTTCCCAACATAAAATTAGTAAGTGGGAAAAAAAAAATACTTTAGGGATGATATCGAAGGTTTACTAAAAAAATATTAAGGAAAAAAATGGACAGAATTCCCGACCATAAAGTCTGGTTATGCATGTCCTTAACGAGAATTTTGGTTATTATCGTATTCTATTCATTATTATTGATGATAGCAATGGTGGAAATAGTGTAAATTAATTACAAACGTGAAGAACAAAGGAGGAAAAGCATAATGAGTGTTGAGCATTTTTTTTATTAAAAAGTATTTATTGAAATTTTAGAAATGTTTGGATAATTTTTTTTTAATAATAAACTACTATTTTTTAAGCTGCTAGAGAGAATTTTATATATAAAAAAAAACTTGTAGAGAGATGATGGAATCACAATTAATCTAGTTATTTTGTAATTAAACTGTGATTAAACTAAATGATCAATTCAAATTAAGGAAGAATTCAAATTAAACTAGTTAATGTTGGACAGGTTTAATAGTCTAATTATCATTTTTCCCTTTTAAAAATAGATAAGTGGAGAAAACAAAAGTGATTAGAATACTCTTCAAGATACTTGGATCCTTCTTTCTAGGATGACTGACCTCCCATTCAGCAGAATTTTTGTCTTTATTTTCAATGAGGTTGTACTTTTGTAGAACAAATCATTAGTTAGTTAGAAACAAGAATTGTGTTTATCGATTTTCTTCGATTTAATTACTTTGGAGTTCCGAGCACATTGGTCTTGAGGATTATCAACATCACACTCAATGTTTTGAAGATTTGAGTATGTCTATTGAATTACAAATTATGCTGACTAAAAGCACCCATACCTAAGGGGTACTTATTCATTTTTTTATAATTATTGGGGAAAATTTTAATCAAACATGTTTTTAAAATAAATTATATGGTATATATATATATATTTTTTTACCATACTATCAATATGAAGTATTTTAACGAGTAATAACTAATTTCTATCAAAGATTATAAGCAAATATAAAATAAAAATTCTCCTTCAAACATAACAAATTATTATATGATTAATAATTATTATATGTCTATGATTTATCTTTAAAAAATAATAATATATTTAAAATTTTGTTAATATTTATATTTTTTGTCTAAACTATAGATATTTTTAATTAAAGATAATTATATTCAAGTTGAGTAAGAATAATATTTATTTTTATATATAATTTGATCTCAGGAATGTTTGTTTTCATCTATAATTTATTTGAAGAAAGAAATATGGTTCAATTGTAACACTTTCCTCTTTACCATATATCGACTACAAACTCCTTAGCTAGATATATGGAATTTGACTAAGGCTAACCCTGATATCATCAATGTTGGCTTTATGTCACCATCCATCGTGTGGCAGAACAACCATAACATACTTTATGAGTAAATAAAATTATAGTAACAATAATATGCTTTTAGGCTTGTTCACTTTTTGGTTCCGTGGATCAGTCATGGGTTGTTTTGTTACCCTTAGAGGTTTTTACTTCAATATAAAGGCTGCATGTTGCAGTGGTGAAACAACACAAGCCATGAACATGCAATCAGTAGAAGTTTACATTTCAAGCTGACATATATGGACCCCGAGATTTCTATTCAGGCTTTGCTTATAGGGTCGTCATGTTTAAGGAGTGTTAAGTGTATCTTATTAAATGCTTCTAATTATTCTTATGTAATAAATACTTTTTTTTCCAATAAAATCTTTCTATTTTGTATTGCCAAAGGGGTAACATCACATTCCTAAGTGTAGCCCAATTGGATCTAATCCCGACATATACCATACCTGTAGGTGGATGGAGTCCTATTGTCTTTTAAAATGTGAGTTTGGATAAATTCAATACTACAAACCCGATTTCTAAAATGAGAATTATCAACACTTATATACTTTGTTTTGGGGTATTTATAAAGATCTCAAACAAGTATTTTCAATATTTCTTATTTGGAATAACGTGAGAATAAAAAACCGTGCAAAATAGCCAAATGAGTTATCCTGTACTGCAAGGTTTTAAAATATCTACCACTACAATGATCATTCACTTGACAGTACACTATATTTCTTGCTAAATCTGGGGAATAAGAAACTACTACGTCATCTGAGCATTCAATGATACAATACAGTTATCATAACTTCAATACTCTAGCTAGAGACACAACAAGGTTATTCCTTGCATTGTACAGAAAATAACTAGTGCATGGCATGGCAAGTATACATATACAAAATCATCATGGGGTTTGTACATTAGATTCAGACTCAGATGATGTGTTACGGTTCTTCAATTCAGGAAGCCTAATTTCCTCTATGTTCCTAACTGCTTCATCCATTGTTGGTCTATTATCTGCCACCTTTGCCACACATGCCAGTGCAATCTGCAGCATCTGCACCATTTCCTCTTCAAAATATGGCCCTCTAAGCAGTTCCTCATCAAAAACTTCAGCTGTCCATTCTTCTCTAACCACAGACCTCACCCACCTTGGAAGATCAACCATGTCCTCATAGACAGGATATCCTAGTGGAGTCTTGCCAGTGAGAAGTTCAAGTAGGAGCACCCCAAAGCTGTAAACGTCAGACTTCTGAGTGATTTTCCGGAACTCGGTTACTTCCGGAGCACGGTAGCCATTGGCTCTTGACATGGTTGATTGTGTGCTCATCAGAGGAGTAAGTCCAACATCAGTGATGCAGCCATCATGTTCTTCAGTTATGAGCACATTGGAGGACTTAATGTTGCCATGAGTGAGTTTTGAGCCCATGTGATCATTGTGAATGGAAGCAATTCCCTTTGCAGCTCCAAGTGCAATCTTCATTCTTGAATCCCAGTCTAATGAGGCTCTTCCCATGCCTCTGTTTCCTATTGTTGTTTGGGAAGGATAGAAGAATTAGGCAAAGATTTAGCTTTGTTACAATTGACAATAGAATATTTATGTGTCATCTAGTTTCATGAATTATTTATTGCTACATAAACAACATAATGCAGCTGTAAAATGAAGAACAAAGGATAGCAGATTTTGTTCACTATCTTGCCTAATCTATTAAAGAAAAATGCCAACGACAATCACTCTAACACTTTTTTTATTAATACTCTATCTATTATTGGCTGAAATTTATTTGAAATCACAAGTTTTGAGTTTTGCATCTCATTTTACGAGTTTCTCTCTTGATTTAGTGGTAGAATTCATTAAATTCTTTTATTTTCAACCAATATTAAGAGTCTTAGCAAAAGAGTATTAGAGAAAATGTCACCAGCATTTCTCATCCATAAAATTACTGCCAAACAATCTTTAATGGTGATTGACTCTAACTTAAGCTGATTTATCCTAGTTTAATTATAACTAAGACTCTCATGTAGAAGTCATAAAACATGCTACTTTATCATTTAGTCAATGTAATAATATGCATAAATATTGACTTCAGATTTTGCTTTTGGTTTACTTGCACCGAGTAGCTAGATAAACATAATGCAGTTGAAGAATGGTGAAGAAAGGAAAACATTTTATCCATTCTCTTGATCAATAGAAAAGGTTGGTGCATAGATTTATGTAGAGCAGTAAAAGACAATGCATCAATGTAAAACGTACCATGCAACATGGAAAACAAGCTGCCTCCTGGCATGTAGTCATAGACTAGAAGTTTCTCATCTTTGGAATAGTAAGAAGCTCGAAGGGGTATGACATTAGGGTGCCTACCAATTCTTCCTACAACCTCCATCTGTTGCTCAAACTCCCTCTTTCCAACCAGAACGTCCCTTATCCTTTTAACCACCACTGTTGTTCCATCCTCCAAAGCAGCCCTATATGTAGTTCCATAGCTCCCCTTTCCAAGAACTTCAGCTGAAGCCTTTAACAAATCTTCAAGGTCAAAGCTATAAGAGCAACCTTCAAAGAAGAACAACTTGTTCTTTTCAGCCTCTTGCACTCCACTCCCAAAACTCTTTGAAACCTCAGCCTTTCTAGCACAAGGTGCCTTTCCTTTCAGTATGCCACTGCTTTGAGTCTTGTTCCTCTTCAAACAGCATACATAGATCACCAAAACTATGAGAGAGAGGAAGGCACAGCCCCCAATTGCTAGAGCAAGTATAGAAGCTAGGCCAAAGTAACTCTTTGAAGTGGTAGCTCTTCCATTTTGGGGAGTTGTAGGAGAGAGTGGTTGATAAACAGGAGAAGGAGAGGGAGAATGAGAAGGAGAAGGAGATGGAGGGAGGACTTCAGAACAATTACTGAGAGGTGGTCCACACAAATGAGAGTTTCCAACAAAAGAAGTATATGAAAAATTCTTGATGGAATGTGGAATTGAGCCATTCAAGTTGTTATAGCTCAAATTCAAATACTTTAGACTTGGAAGGTTGAAGTCAGGGATAACTCCTGAGAAGTTGTTAAAGGAAATATCCAATGCTACGAGTTTAGGGGAGATAGAGGAAGGTATTAGGCCTGAGAAGTTATTCTGCTGCAGGTTGACATATTGGAGTGAAGGAATGGAGAGGATATCAGAAGGAAGGTTTCCTCTAAGGCCATTGGTGTGAAGGCTCAGGATTTTAAGGGAATCTAGTTTTCCTAGGCTGTTATTTGGAATGGAGCCCTTGAATCCTGCCCCTGGAAGATGGATGCCAATGACACTAGTTCCATTTTGGTTGCAAGTCACACCAGCCCATGAAGAGCAAATTGGGGTAGACTCACTCCAGTTTAACCTTGGGGAATGTGGTACGTTGGAAAAGAACTCAAGGAGAGCTTGTCTGTCAGAGTTCAAGTCAGCTACAATGAGGCCAAAGAGAGACACTATGACGCTTAGTAGAACAAATGGAACAGCTTGGAATTGGAACTTCATTGGTGCTTGTTTGGTGTGAAGTTGAGGCAAGTGGTAGTTCCAAGTTCTGACCTTAGCTGCTCTTCATCCTTGCTTGGTTCAGCTTTGGAAGATAATGGTAAAGTGTTAGCTAACATATAGCTAAGAAAGATAAAAATGTTCGAAGTCATAATGAACTACTTTTTTTGTTTGAAGACATGGAGTCATTTGAGTATGCATCAGTTTAGTCTAAAAACAATGATGTGTCACATGGAAAGTGGTGCAAAACTTAAACATCAAATAGTGGTTTAGATTAGTTTACAGATTGGATTTGGAAAATGGTCAGAAATCAAGTCAAATAAGTTTGAATCAATTCCTTTCTTGGAGAACTTGAATTTTAGTGTGAGAATGTTTTCTGTTGGTAAATTCATTCAAATAAATCGGTCGAAGAAAGTTCCATATTTCAATATTTGTTGTTTATCCGAACTCTACTAAAGAGAGAAGGCCAAAGGCTTCACTGTGGACTTTAGTTAATGGGGGACTAAAGTGCATTTTTTACTGAGAATAAAGAAATTCCCGCATGAAACCAGTTCTTACATGTTTCAAAACAACGAAGATGAAGAGAGGGAAAAAGGAAGGCAGAATCCAAGAAAAACAGGACTGAAAAAAAAAAGAAGGAAAAAGTAAAGTTTGACTCTCTTTTGTACTTTATAAAGAAAAAGCATTCATTGTTAAAAAGTAGGCTGCAATCTCTTGATTTAAAATGATGTTGTAAATCATGAGTTTTAATTTCTAGTTTTTGTCACCATACATGGTCAATGCACACTCTAAAAAGTTCATCTTTATTCTTCAAATATTGAAAACCATTTTGTCTTTGTAACCGGATTGAGACAATTTTTGGAGACAAAGGATTATCAAAAGAGATGTAGATGGGTCAAAATTTTCACACTCAAAACAATCATTACATAAATCAATATTTTAACTAAAACTTGCTGATTCCTCCAATATGAGCAAACAAAACATCATTCAACTTGAAAACGTTACCAAAAAAATTAAACAAATAATACAGTTAGGTGAGCAAGAATCAGAAGACATAACATATACTAGAATAACTCTCATTGCTAGAAGTATACAACAACAAAAGCTTTTCATAGATATATGGATCATTTCTAGCAAATATAGACAAAAATATTGTATATGCAGATTTGTGAATAAAAGCATGAGATCAGGTTACAAAAACAAGTATGATGACTCAACTATGAGCAGAAGAGGTAGAAATGCCTTATTTTCCAATCCTTAGGGCATGTTTGGATTACCGTTTGCAATTCACATCCAAGCAAAAATCATATCAATTAATGAAGAAACTACTATTTGTTGTTTCCGTTGAATGTAGAGAAAGAGTGATGATCCACATTCAGGATTTGGTTACAAACACACACTTAATCATGGATAATTGTTATATTAACTTAAACAACATAAGTTAGTAATACAAGTGTTAAAGATTTGGAATTCAGAGGAATGGAGAGAAATTACCTTAGAATGAAATTCAGTGAGATACCAAAAACAGAATGAAACATGATCACTTCACATAAATGAGTAGTAGAAGACATAATCCAGTTCAACAAGAGAGGAGAAGTATTATGTAGTTCAAAATTTCCCACTTGCCATTTAATGAGGATCAAATTCAAATTAAATGGTGTGCAACGGGCAACAGTGATAAACTATACTTTTTGAGCACGCAATATATGAGATGAAACTAAGGAATAAATAAAGAGGTTAAATTAAAGTAAGCACTTAGGAGTTGGTCACACCAAGATATTCACACACAGCTAGATTGTCTATTGATGAAAGGCAAAAATACCAAAATAATTTTCCTACTTAATTACAAATCTAGAATGACAGCATTAATGAGGGAGCTTACCTACAAAACCTTCTATCTATTTAACAATCACATTAATGTCCACCTTTTGCTGTTGAAATTAGCTCAACGTAAAAGGAAAAAGAGCATGGCTTGCATTAGGCTAAGTCTAAACGTTTGAAATAAAGAAGCAAGTCATAAATTAAATTAGCTGGCATGTCTTTGAGAATGGACCCTATAACGACCAGAACATAACGTTTGATTTCTAGCATAAATAAGGTGAGTATTCAATATGATTTGATTTGATTTTGAAAATTGAAGTTGTTGGCATGGCAATATGGCTAAATAAAATATCTATATTCGTATATGTAAGGAAGAAAAGACTGAATTCATAATTAAACTTGTGATGCCAAATCTCATAGCTTGTGACGGAACCTCTTTGCTCACAATAATAGTATATTATTTTGTGTTAGGTGTGAATGTGATAGTGACATGTTCTTCCAAACAATTTTTTTCTCTGTCAAGGATATTCCTAGTCCAATCCAATGAGTTAAAAGATTAATTTTACTTGCAGTATTATGATTATGAAATCAATAAATTTCTTACTTTGGACTCTCTTCAAAAACAAAATTATTTTACATTAATATTTATATAATTTTTTTGAAGTCTATAATTCAAAAAAGTCACTTTTATATTCTTAAAAGTTTATTCCAAAAGAAACATCTCCAAAAAATATATAAATATAATTTATTTTATTCAAGATCTACATCTAAAATATTTTTATATTTTTATTAAAAGATATTATTATTAATTTATAAAAAAAAAAACTCCATTTAAGATTTGTTTTAAGTTTAACGATGTGTTGATCACTAATATGATGAATTTTCACATATAATGAAGATCTTCCACTAAATAAATCATACCCACAACAATAATTAAATTAATGAGGAATGTAATTAATTAGATAATTAAATTAATGAGGAATGTAATTAATTAGAATTGACTTTAAATCTATATATTAAATTAAGGATATTTTAAGACAACCTTTATTTATAACTCTCTAACATACTCTAACTAAAATTTAAGTGAGAATACATAAACAAAGTAAAACATACACACACAGACATACACACACAAGACACACACACAAACAGACAAACACACACACACACACACACAGAGTGACGGATCCACACACACACACAGAGTGACGGATCCAGAAAAATTGTTATGTGGGGGTAATAAAATATTTTATAATTTTTTATTAAAAATATAATAATTTTTTAAAAAGTATATTTTTGTGACACACACACACAAAGTGACGGATCCAGAAAAATTGTTATGTGGGGGCAATAAAATATTTTATAATTTTTTATTAAAAATATAATAATTTTTTAAAAAGTATATTTTTGTGATAAAAATTTAATATACCTATTTTTTTATAAATTAAAATTTTCTCATAAGTAGAGTGACAATTGTTCATTTTTTTCTCTATCTAATATTATATTTAAGTGTAATATTGTGACTTTTAGTGATTTATTTAATTTTATAGGAACAAAACGGTATAAATTATTAAGATAAAGATAATATAATTATTATTTATTTTATTTTGTATATTTTCTAAATTTTTACATTCATTTAAAACAAAAGTATTATGAGAAAAATGCCTATTTTTTATTAAATATGTTTAAGTAAAAAATAAAAATTTTGTGTGATAAATACTCTCATTCTTCTTAATTTGGATCCTCTTCTACCAACACATAATGTACATATACAAAATCAAAAGAATTAAAAATTAAAATAAAAATTGAAAAATAACCTATATTTGTAAATTAAATTATGACATCTTTAATGAATAAAGAAGTAATAAATTTTTCACTAAAAAAATAAAGTATATTATCATAATAATAATAATAATAAAAAGTTAAGACAATTTTGTCATAAAAAAAAAATTACACGATAAAATAAAATATAAATTCAATATTAATATATTTTAACATATTAGATATAAAAATAATCATTGCAAAAAATGTTACATATAATCATTTACAAAAAGTATTATTATAGTTTATATTTACACTTTTTTAATAATATTTCAACATATATTATATCTGTAATATATGTAAAAACAACTTTAGTAATAAGTATTATATCTCTATAAAATGTGTGTCATTATTTAACAATTTTTTTGTAATAAATTAAAATATAATTTATTTATATATATATTATAAAAAGTAAATAATATATATATAAATAAATAAGTGTAAAATTTTAGTGGGGGCAACTGCCCCCACAGTGATATGAATGCATCCGTCCCTGCACACACACACAGACACACACAAACACAAACAGGCACACACAGACACACACACGCATATCATATTTTAATTCTTTTTCATTAAAAATTCTTATTATTCTATAATAATTATGATTAGAGAGATTATGAGCAAATTTTATAGATATGAATTCAAACTTGACACACATTCAAACTTACTTGACACACACACATATCATATTTTAATTTTTTTTCATTAAAAATTCTTATTATTCTATAATAACTATGATTAGAGAGATTATGAGCAATTTTATAGATATGAATTCAAACTTGATACATATGCATGATAGCATAAAATTGTGATCTAATGTAATTGTGCATTTATGATGATATAAATAATATTTTATAAAATTTTACAGATTATAAATAAATTTCCAACTCCATAAACTACATTACAAAATTATGAAAAAATGAAAAACTTAATTATAAACTTAATTCTCACTCTAAATATGATATCAATTAAATGCCAAATTATGTTAGGAAAAAATTGAGAATAGTGAAAAAAGAGAATGAAAAGATAATCACTTTCATCTCTACCAATTACAAAATAAGATAGGAATTAAACAATAAAGAATAAAATGAAAAGTGAATTGAATAGAGTAGGAAAATGTTATATAAATGATAAGAGAATAAATGTAATAGAAGATAGAATTGTAGAAAAAATTACGATCAAAATGGGTTATAAAATTTCAAGTTATGTGAAAAAAAATAGTATCTTTCTTTTTTATGATAACTGCAATGAGGAATGAAAATCAGACAATAAAAGAAAGAGAAGTGAACTTAATAAGAGATGTAACTCGACGGGTAAAAAGAAAATGTAATATAACATAAAAGTGCATAAAAATTTACACATGAGCAAATACCCGGATGCGTTAAAAAAGAATAGGCCAATATGACGTATTTCGTTGTATATTCAATTATTCGTGAAAAGTTTATGACCATAACCAATTATCTACATAATCAATTATTTGTCTAAATAATTGACAGCTTTACACCATTTTTCTCAACGTCTATTTAAAAGGATGACTAAAGCACTTTGATTAGATTAATTGGAACAAGGAAGACGTACAGGAGCAATTACGCATAGAATATAAGCAACATGCTGAAAATCGTTTATTTGTCATCAGGAAAAATGAACAGCTTCATATATGACCTAGTCTCACCATGATACAAAGACGAGAAAGATGATTAGGGGTTACACAACTATCTGCAATGCTCTAAAAACCATATTCATTCACTCAATGAGAACATCAATCATGAATATAGAGTAAGAAAATCCATTCAAGGCGAGTGTTATCAATCTCGTTAAAAATTCATAATAATAATAAATTTAAAATAAAAAAATAAAAAATAAAAATAAAAACAAGCCAACGTACCGTGACCAAATAATCGCTGTCAGAAAACCGAGTATCAAGTGATTAAAAAGAGAAGTAGAAAATCACAACATATAACACAAATTAAGAGGTGCGCAAAAACAGAAATTAACTTAGTTTAATGCAATGTACTGACACAATAACAAACTCAAATTCACTCTTGAAAAACTAATGTGATCAAAAGGTCTAATATTTCCAATTAACTGACGAACTAAGCAGTAGCAGTGTTCAAAAAGGCTCTTCCAGGTTGGCGGTTGGCCAAAGGTCCATGGCACCCAAGAAGCTGCAGAACGCCAAAAAAATAAAGAACTTGTAAGTTCAAAACCAATTATACACCATCAAAATAACTAAAGAAAATTCCCAATTTAATACACGAGACAAATTTCATTCAGAAACATGGTCCAATGCATTCCCAGCTTCCATGTTAACAACCTATAATTAAACATTTAAACTTGAAATTGTTTTCATATGCAGCTTCACATTACCTTGGCATTCACGCCATCAGGCAAAATTCTGTTCTCTGACTTGAACTTGAGGTAATCAGAACGGCTAAACTTGGTGAAGCCCCTGAGCAAACATTTCAAACAACAATAACCAGAGTTAAACATAGAATAAAACTCAGCCTATGAAACTATACAGTGCAAATCTATAATTGATTCAGGTTTTAGTGCCAATAAAACAAACACACATACCATTTCCTGCTAACAATAATCTTTTGACGACCAGGGAACTTGAACTTGGCACGGCGGAGGGCCTCCTGTGCATGATGGCTGTTGCTGTCCTTGCAACGGACTGAAAGGAGGACCTGCCCAATAGCCACCCTGGCACAAGTACCCTGTGGCTTTCCAAAAGCACCTCTCATTCCAGTCTGGAGCCTATCAGCTCCAGCGCACGAAAGCATCTTGTTGATCCTAAGAACATGGAATGGGTGCACCCTCACTCTCAAGTGGAAAGCATCCTTTCCGGCAAACTTGGCCATGTACTTGTTGCAAGCAATCCTAGCAGCTTCCAGTGCCTCACTTGAAACATTTTCCTTCTCCCAACTGACCAGATGGACGCAGAAAGGGAACTCATCAACACCTTTCTTCTTCATTCCAACATCATAAATTCTGATCTTGGGATCAGGAACACCACGGCAGAAACGTGACTTGGGGTATGGCTTGTTCTTAATTTGCCTATAACACCTTGCAGGTCCTAAATAAATAACCATCCACATGTACAAGCACATCAATAACACATAAAAAACTGGACCAATTTTTCCAAAACATGAGACAATAATTTCATGCAATAGCATTCATTAAAAAGGAACCCATAATGAATACCAATAAAAACAAATTCACAGCACAGAATATAACTTCGAGCACAACATAAAATGACTCAATGAGTGATTGACGAACAAAATTAATCACCTAGCTTTACATTGAACTACCAGTAACCACAAAACAACACCTAAAATAAACCATATCTAATATTTGATATTCTGAAACCTATTAAATTCAAACTAAAAAGAAGGGGGGAAAAAAACCAATTTTCGAGCATCAGAACACGGTAAATTCAGCTAAGAACTCAATAAAGCTATAGCGGATTTCAACATAACAGATATATGAAATCGAAACGAATGAACGAAATCTTGCGAAAAGGAAAGGTGCTTAGAACTTACTCCGCCCCATGGCTGCGTCTGTCTCTGCTCTGCACGCGTTAGGGTTGAGGCTGTAAACGCGGAAACAAACCCTAGAACGAGTTATTTATATAGTGGCACCTGCTTGGGGCTTTACCTGTTTAAGAGACGGGCTTTGTTTTGGGCCCAAATGGTCCACAGGGTCCAGTTGCCCGTGATCACTAATACATTTTTTATAAATAAAAAAAAAATGGCATAACATTTCGTTATGAACTTTAAAAGCTGAACAAATCCAGATTTATAAATGATATATTTGGATAATTTTTTTTGAAACACTGTAAGATAAAAAAAAAAAGTTTTTTTAAAGAGAAAAAAAAAAATTTTATAAATTAAAAAAACATAAATGAATAGTGAATATTTTTTTTTTATAAAGATAAGAAATATTACAAAGATAGTCGCAATGAAGATTAAACCTAAATTTTCATGCTTCTGACTACCCCAATTCTTTTCTACCCAACCACTAGACTAACCCTAATGGTCTGAATACTGAGTTTCTTTAAAACTAAAAAAGAATTTTTAAGAAACAAACAATATAAAAAGTTGTTCAACATTTATTTAAAAGAAAATTATTTTTGGTTACAAGAAATAATAAAAGGAAAAAAAAAATAAACAGAAAACCCAGGCCCGCACACAGCCTAACCCGTCCTAAGAAACCAAGTTTCCGCCGCTATAAGAAGCATCAAAGATTATCCTTTGACAATAAAACTTTTAAGAAATTAACAGTAAAATTCAGTATAAAAACTTTTATTTGACACAAAAATTAAGAATTTAACATGAAACTAAACATGTGAATTTTTATTTTTATTTTTTACCAATGTGAAAGTTTACTTAGAAGCACATTAACTAATACTTTTATGCGACTGCAGAGAAATTAAACATTTTGAGTTGAATAAAAAATTATTATGTAGTAATTCACTACTAACTTACTTTTAGAATAAATATGTCTAAAAATAAATCACAAGACACTAAAATCAATTTTAATCATAATCTATTTCATTTAAATTAATTTAAAAAAACACAATTTGAATTAAAATAAACCTTAAGTAACTTTTGCACTAGATGAAGAAAAGTATACTAAATTTTAGTATTAACTTGGTTTATAATTAAAATAAACTTGTTTTTAGAATACAAATTTTTAAACATAAACTATTTCACTTAAGATTACATTAAATATTAAAAATTTATAATTAATATGTTATTTTAATTTTTAGAGTTATAAAATTATAAAATTATATTTATTAAATAATATTTTAAATTAATAATAATAATAATAATAATTTTATTAATATTAATTTAATAATTTAATCATGATAAATCGTTGAATCTTAAACTAATATTTAGATTAATTCAACAATCAGTCAAATTTTAAAAACATTGATATTTTCAAAACATAAAACAACAAAAATAGTTTTTTTTTTATAAGTAAAAATCAATCTGAGAATAAAATGTTTAAAACATTGTGGTTCATCTCTCATCTTGTTCAACTCAACTAAGAAAGATAATTTTTTTTAGTGTATCAAAATAGACATTACTTCTCTTAACAAGATATTCTCAAAACATATAGTCAAAAATAATTATTTAAAAGCAATATCACTCTAAAAGAAAATTATTGAAATAAAAACCGATGACCCTATTACTAAGTTTTATCTCCATGAAATTGAAATGGAAGATAAAAAATGTATGAAAAGTAATTTGCGGAATATAGTATAAGGGTGTGTGGATGGTGGTGAAGTCGAGAGCAAAAGAAATTGGGTTTCTGGTTTGAATCGAAAGGAGAAAGATGAAAATCCACCACATACCGTGTCTCGAAGACAATTATTCCTATCTGTAACCAACACCCCTCCATTAATCCAAACATGTTTTCTCATTTCCCTCACTTTCTGAATCAATTCAATCTGAACGGTGCAGGATCGTGGATGAGAGCACCAAGGAAGCCGCGGCGGTGGACCCCGTCGAACCGGAGAAGCTTCTTGAAGCTGCCAACTCGCATGGCCTCACTCTCAAACTCGTCCTCACCACCCATCATCACTGGTACTACCACTACTCCAAACAAAACAACCTTTTTTTATTTCTTTTTATCCTATTTCTGACATGTTGACTATGATGTTTCTTTTTATATGTGGCAGGGATCATGCTGGTGGGAACGAGAAGATAAAGCAGCTGGTGCCTGGAATCAAGGTCTATGGCGGCTCCATTGATAATGTCAAGGGTTGCACTCACAAAGTTGAAAACGGTGATAAGGTGTCTCTTGGAGCTGACGTCACCATTTTGGCCCTTCACACACCTTGGTATGCTATGCCATGCTATGCTAAGCTAGCTCATCTCTTTCCAATTACTGCACCAATAATCACCTTTAAGAGACTAAAGTAAGTAGACAAAATGATTTAAGTTAATATGAAAGAGCTTCTACCATAATTTATAGAGAAAAAAGACTATGCACCGACAATGTGTAGTTTACACAATCATTCAATTACTGATGGGATACAAACAAGTCCCACATTGATAAAATAAGACAAAAAATAGCAACTTATATAACATGAACATACTTCAATGATGAGAGGCTTTTTGAATAATGACCAAAAACAAAACCGTGAGGACTAAGGCCCAAAGCGGACAATATCTCATCATTGTGGAGTATGTTTGTGTAATAACCTTATAATAATAACTCTCGTAAAATATCCCCTCAGACAAATATCATGAAATAACCCCAACCATTATTTATATCAAGCTTGTTAACTTTTATAATAGTTTTTGTTGGATCGAGCGCTTAAGAGCGCAGCAGCCCAAGCGCCATGATTCGACAGTGACTTGGCCCACCTAGCCTCCGCCACGGGACAATTGATGTAACCCGCAACAATCTCCCCCTCAGCAATTGCCCCGCTGGGTATCGAACTCATGACCTTGGCTCTGATACCAATTGTTGGATCGAGCGCTTACCACTAGGCCAAAAGCTATAGTTGATAGTCAGGGCGCAACTCTTTTTACTTAAAAGCGCAGCAGCCCAAGCGCCATGATTCGACAGTGACTTGGCCCACCTAGCCTCCGCCACGGGACAATTGATGCAACCCGCAACAATTTTCTTAAAAGTCATACTAACAATGTGTTTTGATTGGTCGAAATACTGACGGTGCATGATCATTAAACTCTAATTTAAGATCAATTTATGGACTTCTTTAAAAGTTGAGGTGCATAAGTTGATTTTAATTCATGGGAGGAACTCAATTCATTTTCCTTTCATATTTTTTCTCCTCCAAGTGTTTACAGAGAAGTATATCAAAATTAGTCTAATCTACAAAAGAAGAATCAAAGGAAAGAAATAGTCTAACTTATGCTGGAACAGATTTGATCAAGTCATAAACTTGCTTAGTGCTAAGCATAATGTTTGAAGGCCAAGAATTGTAATCTGGTCAGGGTGAATAGAATGCTTGTCTTTAACCCCCACCCATAATTTTTATAATGTATTTCTCTTGCCAGAAAGGCAGAAACGTTTTGCATTGAATAATCAATTGTGTGTACTGCTTGCTGAACTTGTTCTGCCAATTGTTCTCATCCTCTGTTGAAAGGTTTTAGACTTTTAGCTCAGTTTATCTGATGATAAAACCAAATAGATGTGCTGTGTTGTGCAATAAGATAACAAGAAGGCATAGCCTTGCTTCATTGGCCCTATCAGCTATTATCAATGCTATTAATTTTGGTTGGTATATTATTAGTTGTTGATATTTATCATTCTTTTGATAGCGCCTTACCTTTGCTGATTCAACTTCACTTTCTCTAGACATGTTTATCTCTCTTTTTAACATAAGCTATTCCTGTGACTTGTTCAGCCACACACAAGGTCACATAAGTTACTATGTTACTGGAAAAGAGGATGAGCATCCGGCTGTGTTTACTGGAGATACATTGGTAAGATGATTGATCAATCTTTTTCATATCAGAAAAAAGTAGTTATTTAGAAAGCATATAATGAATTTATTCTTAAAGTTGTGCCAAGTGCTTGAAGTCAAGGTATGTGACTTGTATTTTTGCCTTTCTCTCTCTCTGAAAACTTTCATATATATGAATTTTGAAGAGGTTCTTCTTGTAAATCTTTAGATTTATTGTGTTATTATTGGTTTACAGTTTATTGCTAGTTGTGGGAAATTTTTCGAGGGAACTGCAGAACAGATGTATCAGTCGCTCAATGTAACATTAGGTTCATGACCAAAGCCAACTCGAGTATACTGTGGCCATGAGGTAAATCATAGTGAAGTCTCCATCCATACTGAAAAAAGTTGTTATGAGGAGTGTTATTGATGATCGATCTTATAAGTTTAACTAATGAATGGAATTGATCCAAAAAAAACTGCTTCAACAGTTAGTTCATGTATGATTTTACCAATTAAACATTTCTAATTTAATTAATGGAGATAGAGGGATTGGGTAATGGTGCAAATATTTGAGTTACAATCCATTCTGCAATTGATGGAGATACATATATTATTTGTTTGTGAAGATGTTATGCGTGCTCCCTGAATTCTTTTACCATCTTGGGTCAATCCACAAAATGTGGAACTTTAAGGATGCTAGTGGTGCTACCCTAGGAATTATTGGTCGTGAAGTTGTAGACAGTCAAAAAATAAGCTTATTGGGCCATTCCACACTTGCTAATATTATATAAAAACTGTATAGTATAAAAATGCAAGGATTATATTTTCAATCAGTGCTGCACGAGTAAGAACTCAAAACTCAGAACCCATCTCACAATTCCTGTAACAAATTTCGTGCTGAAGTTATGCTTGAGTCTGTGTCTATCTATTAATGTGCCTAGAATGGAAACTTATATTTCTGGTCAAGAGCCAGTATGTTACAGTAACCTTAAGCAAACAAATCCAGAAATCCTTCATTTTTTTAGAGCACATGTATGATTGTCATTTGCTGAAAAAAGATACAATTGGTTTTGAAATATCTATGATCCAGTTGCCCAGTTGTAAAGTTCTGATCTGGGAAGAGGTGGATTTCTTTTGATAATCCATAGTGATTGTTCATGAGAAGCTCATTTGTATAGAATTGGTCATGCACTTCTGCGTAAAATGCAAACTTGATGACCT